GAGGCCCATGTTAAATATAAGCCTCAGAGACAAAATTCCTAACACCGAAATACGTCGAAGAACTAAAGTAACCGACATCATGGGAAAAATAGCGACATTGAGATGGCAATGGATAGCACATGTAGTAAGATAAGACACCAACAGATGGTCTCATAAATTGACATTCTGGAGACCTCGAGAAACAAAGAGAAGCGTAGGAAGACCCAAAAAGAGATGGATAGACGATATAACAGCTGTAGCTGGAAAACAGTGGATGAGAATTGCAAAAGATAGGGAAGCGTGGAAGCAATTGGAGGAGGCCTATGTCCAACAATGGATACATGAAGGCTAAAGAAGAAGACGAAGAAGATAATAGTAACTAAAGACAAACTGCTAAGTAAGACTTTAGATTAGAAAAAGTGAGTTAGTTTAGGTTAGAAATAAATTACTTATTATTCGATCAGTAAACAAATCGTAATATTGCTTGCTGCTTGTTTTTTATGATAATCAAGCATAAACAATTGTACCAATCTGGAATAATAATGTCATGCGCCCTTCCCTCCATGCTATGGCATGCTGGACGAGCCATACAGTCTGTAGTCAATACCCCGAGGTATGAGCGGGAACACAAAGTGTATTAATACTCATACGCTTATGAAACGCACCTGGCGCATCATAAGGGCCTTCACATTTCACTCTTTTTCAACTTGTCTTGAGTGAAATGTCTTTAATCTTTCCTATCGGCCTCTCTTGGCTAACTCTTGTTTCTTCCGACCTCGAATGGCTATTAGGTTTCCGAGGGCAGACGGGTCACTATATTTCCTTCTATTACACACTCTAGGAAGGCAGCGGGAAACCACCTAGAGCCTAATTTTCCCAAGAAACAATCATGGAAATGGCTGATAAATACAACGGCCCCGAGTACGGGCGCTCCTTAAATGGAGCAGGGGTGCTAAGAATCTCCCGGTCAGCTAGAAACATGAACACATTTTCTAAAGAAAGAAAAATAGGTACATGGAATGTAAGAAGCATGTACGAACCAGGAAAAATTCATAACACCATTAAAGAAATGAAGCGTCTAAATATAAGTATCCTTGGAATAAGTGAAATGAGATGGCCGGGGTCTGGAAAAGTAACTGTAGATGACCACATTGTATACTATTCAGGAGAAGACAGCTCAAAACACAAAAATGGTGTAGCAATAATTGTGTCGAAGGAAACAGATGAAGCTGTAAAAAACGTCGTCCTATTCTCAGACAGGATACTGATGATACAAATACAATCAACAACAATCAATGTGAACATATTACAAGTATATGCACCCACACAAGACTATGAACAAGAAGAAATTGAAAAATTCTATCATGATTTAGAAAAAGTATTAGCACCTACAAAGAAACACGATCTCAATATTATCATGGAAGATTTTAATGCAAATATTGGTGAAGGTGAACAGGAAGATGTCATAGGGAAATATGGTCTGGGAATACGAAATGAAAGAGGAGATATGTTGGCATCTTTTTGCGTAGAAAAGCAATTAGTAATAATGAACACAATTTTCAAACTTCCAAAACGTCGTCTTTATACCTGGAAATCACCAGCAGATACACCTGAACGAGTTTTTCGTAACCAAATAGACTTCATATGTATAAATAAGAGATACAGAAATTCAGTATTATCAGTAAAAACATATCCAGGGGCAGATGTACCAACAGATCACAATATGTTAGTAGGAAAAATAAGACTGAGATTAAAAAGAGTTGCAAGGACGAATAAGCAAACAGTTACTATTGATAGAGAAACGATGCTAAATGATACTGTAAAACAAGAAAGAACTAGTATATTAGAACAAAAGATGAAGTTAACATCAAACAAAGAAGAAAGTACTGAGGAAAACTGGACGAGAATTAAAGACATCTTAAAGACTGTTCAAGAAACAAAATTGAGTGCGCTAAAAGCAAGAAAAAAACAAGGGTGGATGACAGAAGAAATACTGAGACTTATGGATCAAAGAAGAGAAGTCAGAAATAAAGATAAAAACGAATACAAGAGGATTCACGCAATAATCAGGCAGAAGATAAGACACGCGAAAACACAATTTCATAGTAAAGAATGTAATGAAATTGAACAATATGAAAAGAAACACGATACATTTCATCTGCACAAGAAATTGAAAGAAGTCGCTGGAAACAAATGGAAACAAGTATCCCAAAGTTTAGAAGACAGAAACGGACACAGAATATTAGACATCAATGAAAAGTTAAAAGAATGTGAAAACTACATTTCTGAATTATTTGAAGATGAGAGAGTAGAACACTATACAACGATTGCTATATCAGGTCCATCTATAACAGAAAGTGAGGTGAGACGTTCAATACAAACGGCAAAAAATGGAAAAAAATGGAAAAGCACTTGGCCCCGATGAAGTAAGTGCTGAAATACTAAAGTTTTTGGGAGAAAATGGAATTAAAGCTCTGTGTAATCTCTTTACCAGAATTTATGACACTGGGATATTACCAACTGATTGGTTAAAGTCGACATTTGTTACAATACCTAAGAAACATCGTCCAAAGACATGCGGTGATTATCGGACAATAAGTCTGATGAGTCACGTTTTGAAAATCTTTCTGCGAGTAATACACAGCAAAATTTATACGCTGTTAGGGGACAGAATTAGCAATACTCAATTTGGGTTTAGGAGTGGCTTGGGTACAAGAGAAGCCTTGTTTAGTATACAGGTGCTAGTACAGAGATGCAGAGATATAAATCAAAATGTGTATATTTGTGCAATCGATTTTGAAAAAGCTTTTGACAAAGTCCGACATAACAAAATGCTAGAAATATTGGAAACAGCTGGATTGGACGATAAAGATCTACGAATAATTACAAATCTATACTGGCATCAAGTGGCAAGAATAAAGGTTGAAAAAGAACTGTCGGATGAAATGAATATAAAAAGAGGAGTGAGACAAGGCTGTATATTGTCGCCTTTACTTTTTAACTTATATTCGGAGGAAATATTTAAGGAAGCCTTAATGGAGACAACCGAAGGTATTATTGTGAATGGAGTAACCGTCAACAATATTAGATATGCCGACGATACCTTAGTCCTTGCCAATTGCGGAGAAGACCTTCAAAATCTAATGAACAAAATAAAACAGACTTGTGATCAGTATGGATTAAAACTCAACGTTAAGAAAACTAAATATATGATAGTTAGCAAACAAAATTATATACATGATGACGGTATAAAAGTCGGAGATGCCACACTGGACAGAGTAGAGAAACTCGTGTATCTCGGCAGTAATATCAATGAGAGCTGGGATCCAACCGCAGAAATTAAAAGCCGAATAGAACAAGCTCGAGCTGCCTTTGTAAAAATGAGAAACGTACTTTGCAGTCATGATCTTAGCATTGACCTTAGAGTTCGTATGATATCTTGCTACATCTTTCCTGTCCTGCTGTATGGAGTAGAAGCGTGGACCCTAACTGAGGCTATGCTTAAACGCTTGACAGCCTTTGAGATGTGGGTATACAGACGACTACTAAAAATAAGCTGGGTCGACAGAGTTAGAAATGAGGAGGTCCTTAGACGGCTGAACCAAACAACACAACTGGTCAATATAATAAAGAAACGCAAGCTGGAATACTTCGGTCATATTATGAGACACCCTGAAAAATATGATCTTTTACATCTGATCATTCAGGGAAAGATCCAAGGTAATCGTGGTCGTGGTAGAAGAAGAACATCATGGCTGAAAAATCTAAGGCAATGGTATGGAAAATCAACTACCTCGTTATTTAGAGCTGCTGTCAATAAAGTCACGATAGCGAATATGGTAGCCAACATGATATCCAACGATCGATAATGGTCATGGAACTGGAAGAAGAAGGAATAATAATGATATAAAAACAACCAAGTGTTTTATTTATATGTATTTAGGAAATAATATATCATATAGATTCGTAGTGGTGCAAAGGGCACATCAGTGTTTCAGTAGCAAAATAGTATAAACAAAAGGTTTGGTGGTAAAGTTGATAGCCTCACCAATCATTGCTTGAGTCCCATCTTTAGTGTTAAATTATTCAATCATTATAATTATCCAATCTACTATAAACAGCATAGCTGACAGAACACATCACTGTATATCTCCTTTTTTAGTATTTATTTATTCAGATAGTTCACCTTTATGTGCTCTTGCAAATGTAACTCTTGCAGTACATTGGTATATTGGTTGTAAAGGAGTCTTATTGTCCTAATATATTTGTCTGATATTCCGCAGTTTCAGTATGTTCCAGATCATGTTTCAGTTAATCGAATCCAAACACTTTTTCAAAGTCTATAAAATTAATAAAAATTTCTCCATTTTTTTCCGTTACCTCTTCCAAAATGATTCTTAAAATGTTTACATGATCTAGAGTTGTTCGGCTGAACTATATTGAGTTCCATGTCCTCATCATCCAATTCTGCAAAAAATTGAGTCCATCTACTGCTACTTTTTTTTGTCTTCTAGGTATATCTTCTTCTTTCCCTTTTAATTTTGTAGCTTCCTTCAGTCTTTTTGTTATTGCGTGTAGCATCTGGGTGTTATTTTTTGCTCTAAGTGCAACCTTTTGTCCAATCTAGCTCGTTTTTTACTTCCCTGTTTGTTTCTTTGTAATATTCCTCTAGTACTCTTCATCTTAAGGGTAGGAAATAATGGATAAGATAAAAATTCAACAATTTATTATTTTTATTTATTAATTAGCAAGTCATCTTTATTTTTTAACAAGAATGGTAAATATAAATCAAAATAAAAATATATTGAATGTATTAATTAAATTAAATATGAAATTATCATCCCTTGAAACTTCAACAATGGGACAATTGTCCTCTTGCTTTGAATATATTATATGCATAATTTTGCTGTTTTCAAATTACACATTGCAAGTCCTAATTGTATTTGCCTATAATAGGCATGTTTAGTTTTCAAGCATATTTTTTTTTTTTTCATTCACATACAGAAAATTTAAAGTGTTTATCACTTTATCTCTATCAAGTGCATCTCTCCATTTTCTTTAATAAATCCATCTAGACTAAATTCCAGATGAGGGCTATAAGAATTAATTATTAACCCTGTTTCATGTAAAATGAAATTATATTTTTGCTTTAAACATTCCTTAGCAATTTTTACCTTACCAATTTTTACCATACCTGGTAGCATGATTTCCAGCGAATTTAGGAAACATTATTTTTAATAATTTTGTTTCCCATGATGTATTCTTGCCGCAATAATATGTATATAAATTATATGCAGAAGTACCTGTGATTCTTATCTGCCAATATTGCATCCATATTTTATTTTCACCATTCTGTAGCCTCGTATTTTTGAAAATACTCCCAGCTTCACACTGTTTACTACTTACAAATTCATTATAAAAGTTTATAGCTGATTGTCCACAAGCACTTAACAGCCTTAATTGTTTTATATCATTGGATACTGATATAAACTGATTAAACAATGCGGCTTCAAAATCAGTTATCCTTGTTATATTATCAGGTGTTGCTATCCCAGAACTTCGACCTTCAACAAATAACTTGAGGGCAGAACCTGGAACTACAAGTGACAATTAATATAAAATGCTCATCACAAAAAAAATGTTAAAAATATCTTACTATTATTAATGATGTTAAGTCAAATAGGTAATATTCATTATTTATTTTTACATGTTTTAAATTAATCGTTGGGTAATATTAAATGATTAACACGGAATCTTCACGTTTCAATAAAAGTTGGTATAGATATTGTATATAAAATTTGTAGTATAAAATATCCATGAGTGGTTGTCATTGTGACTTAACATCTTGAATATGCCTATCAAATATTTGTTCTTAAAGTCGCTACGTATATAATGCACATAGCGTAGTCTCTGAAAAACCTGATTTTACTAAAAGGTGTCTGATACGATACATTCCAGAAAGTGTGAATTGTGTGATATTTAAAGCCATTTAATAATATTTTTCGGAAACTAAATGCTTCATGCTGGAAACACTAAGTACATGATAATATTCAGTGACCCTTAATGTGCACATACACAAAAGCAATGTTTCTCAAATCATTATGACCTTTAATAAATGGATTTGTAGTATCTTCCCCTCCTCTCAAAAAAATGTTTTTGAGAAGGCAGAAATTTGCTTTGTGATCTTTGAAAAATAAAATAATTCTCTGGATTCTGCAGAAGCATATAACAGGATGTTAAAAAAGTAATGAAATAATTGGCCACTAATTTTTTTCTAATAAAAGCCTTCAGCACTTATTTAATTTCAAGATTTCTGTAGCTCGATGGCTAGTCTAGTTTTAAGCATCATTTGGCTACAAAAAGTAAGTATTCATGTAAAACTCACCTTGTACAACTTTAAATATTTTTTCATATGCTTGATTTAATGATCCGGTAGGCTGTATATTTCGTTTCCTTTTAGTGGCATGGCAGAACTTCACAGGTACAGGTTTACTATATTCTAAGGAATTATTTTTAAAACTGCCACTGCCACTATAACTGCCCCAAACTTGTTCTACATCTGTACAACTTAGTGCTTCTAGCTCATCTTGTCTACAAGTAAATTTGAAATACATATACCGTTAAATCGCAATAACTCAAAAAAGTCTACTAAAACACACTTACCTCTGGTCTTGTAATAAAATTGCAATCACATGTTTGCACATTCCTCCTAAATTAGTCGTTTGCAGACACAAACCGACTAATTTGTTATTATATTTGCCACACAACAAAACGTGGCCAGCCTTTAACAAAGCCTCGCCTTCTTTTAAATGTCTTTTTGTGTCTCCTATATATTTCAAAATATCGAGCAGACTAACTTCAATTTCTTTATTTGCCATTGCGTTAACAAAAAATTAATGAAAGATAATAAATACGGATAATTTTTAAACACAACAATGATTCACCTACAAAGATTATGGAAGCTCTGTTTTGTTTTCCTACGTGCGTGATCAGCTGATCATCTATCAAAGCGCCCCCTGTAGTTCGTTGACATCGCCAATACAATTCAATACATTTTTGCATATTTTTAGTCATAGTTTCACAGTGTATAAAATTTGTGAAATTAGTGAGTTATTTAATCTTTAGTTTGAACATTTTTGGATAATGGATATTTCAACGTTGAAAAAACGTTATTTTTTTTTAAATTTCCGTCTCATAGTTAAACAATTAAATAAAGCAAATCAAATCTTGTCTAAGTCTTATATTCTCCAAGTTAAAAAAAAAAACAAATTATGGTTGATAAATAGTAACAAGACAAAAATATTATAATATGAAAAACTAATAAAAAATAAATGATGTCCCACCAGGAATTCAATTGATCAATATAGGTCGATCTATAGATAGGAAAATAATTTTTACAAAGTGTTACTTATTCTATTTTTAAAATTACAAATCATAAAACAGTTATAAATTATTTCATTCATATAAGGGAATAATTTAGAATCAATTCTATCCTTCAGTATTGTATGTTTTTTGCCAATCCTATAATATTTTCAACAATGATCCTACGATTGACAATGGCCCTTGTTTTATTATTTCTTCTTTTAACTTAGTCTTTTTTTAAATAGAGGTACATATATTTAAATGTATTCCTTTTTTCTCTAAAAGATCTGATATACCAAAACCCCTGTCCGCTTAAATTAATTCTCCTTCAATAAGTCCCAAAATTCTACATTCTACTGTAATTTTTCTATGTGAAATACTACCTCCATAAACATCAGATACATATCGCTGTTGTGCCTGAAAAGGGGGACAAGTCATAAAATGTGAAAACGAGAAAAACACTATTTAAAATTTTACAAAAAAATGATGTTTTTTTACAGATGTTTTGACACATGACTTACCCCCTTTGTAATTGAACATAATAATGATAACACAGGTTAATGGATAATTTTATTACGTTAATACAAGCTTACTTATATAGTGCTACATGTATTTATGTACTAAAAATATTAAACATGTCGACATTTTTACATTTGACATTTAATGACATTTTAATCGTCGTCAGGTATTGATGAATTTGGGAGCACATCAGCTAAGTCTTTATCTGTGGGTAGATTTTTGTAAAAGTCCCACAGTGGTTCTGATATATACGGCAGTAACTCCATCAGGTGCTTTTTCTTTTCTATCGTTATCGGCACATGCTTGTTATATGCGTTATTGGAAAATAAATTTATATCTGCTTTTATATAATTTATTATAATTTTATATCTCTCTTTCCTAAATCTACGGTCTCAAAAGGTTTTTCTTTGTCAAAGGACAACTTGTATTAAAACCGGTTAGATTTTTTATACCGTAGCCAACGAAATTGTCTCTAATTTATCTTGTTATTTTGAGTATCAGTTTTGCGGTTAACTAATACAGAATTAAATAAGCCAGCAAAATTAAGAAACACTGAGCGCTGCATTTCTGTAACTAAAAATTGAGGTTTCCTTCCTACTTGCCGAATTAATTGAGCCCAATCATGTGGATGTTCTATTTGACTACTAAATTTTTTCTTCTTTTATTCTATATCCGTATCGCACTGCATATGTGTATGACCTGGTATTAAATACTTGTGTTCAATAATTTTTAAATTCGCAGAGCATTGTAAAGCAGTTAAACAAGCTGCTGTTATAAACCTGTCCTTATTCTGGCCAGGACAGTAGCCTGAATACATTATTAGGTGTTCAACTTTAGGATCTAAATCTTTTGTTAATGCAGCTTTACATCTAGGCTATGCAAGTCTCATGCTATGCAAGTCCGTCTTGCATGGCACATCTCTTGCCTAGCTTGACCTTTTTACATCAGAGATATTTCTGTGCAATTTTAGATCCCACTTTCATTGTTGCAAACAGAGAAAATATGTATCAATTTGAGATTATTTTATTTTAAATAAATATAATTAAGTACCTACTAAAATAAATAATATATTAAATAAATATACACTATTCATGGTTATTAAAAGGGTGAAGGATGTCAACCAAAGAAAAGAAAACATTGTTATTGTTGAATATTGCTGTTGTAGCAACAATCATCCATAGTCAACGACTCACCCAGTCGTTTTTACATTAACTTTAGACATAGTATATTTATTTATCACCACTTAATAAACTTAATTTAAATCAAAACACAACAATACACACGTGGGCTAAGGGACGCTAAAGATAGAGATAAGGTTATGTTTTATTCTGTAATCTATTATAAATTGTTATGTTGGCAACATGAATGTTAACGATAAATTGCAAGAAAATAGCATGAAAAATAGAACATGTTCTAATTTTTCGTCTAGCACAGGAATTGCATGGAAATAGCCCGTGGGCGTGCGCAGTTCCATGATCTGTCTTGCATGGCTCTTGCCTAGCATGAAAATATCATAATGTAAAACTGTCTTTAGGTATTGATATAGGCAGGAAATAATATCATTTCGCCCCGTTTTGCGAAGGATTCATGCCATAAATAGTAGTGGGCTTGTGAGTTATCACAGCCCTGAACTGTAAGATTAAATGTCCACAAATGCCTCTTGTAAAACGACTCACCACTTTGGAGGTCTAGTGTTGGCAGGCATTGCTGGAGATCAAAAGTAATAGTTTTCATTTTAACATTATCCTTAGTCAGAAATTTATCGACTTATTTATTTTTATATCCTTGATTAGCTTGTAAATGGTGTTCGTTTAACTCTTCTTTTACTAGTTTTATTTCATCCTCATTCTTGCACATAGTAATTTTCATTTTTAATTTGTCACATTTACCGCATGTGTCTTTCTTAGATTTCTTTATACTAATGTTAAGGCTGTGAAATATGTTTCGGTACATTTACGATTAATAAAATTATCTCGGTACATCTTCTTGTAAGCTTCATAAAAAGCAGTGAGTGTGTAGTTTGAAGGTAAATATTTCCTCGATGACTGCCTTCTTGTATAGTGACTTTCATATAAGGGGATAGATAAAATGTGATCCCTGGCCCTTATTTTTTCATCATCTGATATCTTCTTCCGATTTTCATGATATCCTCGCTGATCTAATGTCATTACGCCTGATATTTGAGAATATTTTCGCTACTATTGGCGACGTGCAAGTACTTGGATGTGATACGAGGAACGATCGTGCGCGAGTAGCGGAGAAATCTTGCATTTTTTACTGCAAATTTCATAGATTTCATAAATGCATATTGTCAATTGTCATATTTCATATTCGTTTGTTTATTTACACCTTCTGTCACTGAAGAAAATGGGATTTAGGCAATGCTGTGTGTTATAAATTGTAAAAATACAACAAAAAATTGTCAATTTAAGTTTTATTCGTTTCCAACTTCGAAGCACAAATTACTACAAAGAGAAAAGTGGATTTATATTATAAAAAAACATAAGTAACATAACCTAAATTATGCATTATTCTTGCGCCCGATTTTAAAGTCAGTTTGAAACAAATAATAAATAAAAGTTCACTTTTAAGTGTAAATTTTAGTTTCATAACACTCACTTAGAGTTCATTTTAACCCAAAAATCAAGTTTAATGTTTAAATTTTATGTTTTTGAAGTTTACACAAATGCATCAAGTTCAAGTTTTTCTGAAGATGCATTAAGATATATTCGCTGTCCAAAAGTTTACAGGGAAAGAATTAATTGTTCAAACCAATATGATGATATCATGGGCTTAACCTGCTAATTTATGCATTCATGCATTAGCATTATTTATGGTAATTTATTTTTCTTAATTCTTCTACATAATTCTTCCATTCTTTTTTGACATTTGCCACTAATAAAGCTTTTCCGTTTGACTCAGTGCTTGGTTGAAAAGTTATTTGGTGATTTACTTTCTCAAATCCAGTTTTTATTATTGCATCCATATTAACAGTATATATATATATATATATATATATATATATATATATATATATATATATATATATATATATTACAGGATCCAATTTGTAAATAGAATACATCTTGGAGACGGCTATCGCCGTATTCTCGTCCTCCTCCGCCAATCCTCTCGGTCCAAGGCATGCTCCTCCTCCAAACCTCTCGATTCCATTGCTCTTCTAATACCTTCATTCCATGAGCGTCGAGGTCTACCTCTTTTTCTTCTACCAGGGGGCTTCCATCTGTGAAGTTTTTGGGGCCAACGTTCGTCAGGCATTCTTAACAGGTGTCCAAACCATTTTAAACCTCTTCTTTCTATTCTGTCTATGACCGTATCTGTAGTATTCATCTGATTTCTTATAGATTCGTTGGTTTTCCTTTCCAGCCTTGATGTTCTAGCACTTCTTCTCAAATAATCCATTTCAACTGCCAACAATCTTCTTTTCAGGTCTGCATTAATTGTCCATACTTCAGAGCCATAACAAAGAACTGATTCAACCATCGTTTGCCCTATTCTTTTTTTTTCCTTTTGGAAATGTTGCGATCCCACCATAAGGAGTTCAAACATCCTACAATTTTACATCCCTGATTAATTCGGTGTTTAATTTCGGTTTCACCCAAGCCGTTCTTATCAATGAATGCACCTAAATATTTAAATTTTTCCACTTGTGTGATTTCCACGTCCTCGTCTATCAACACTTCAAACCTTGCATCTGAATTGATAACTAGATATTCCGTTTTCTTCATGCTGACTTTTAACAGTCATATTAACAGTAATGCTGTAATTTAATAATATATTTATTTATATTTACACTACATACAACGTTTACCTTTTAATAACATACCGACATAACCTCAATCTTACTTTTTCTTCTTATTCTTTTTTGGGGCTACGTCCTTGACAGTTATCCAGTAACCTCGATCTAACATGAAAGCGCAGTAAATTTTGCTGATTTACGACACCAGGTGTCGCTGTTCCGAACTTGCACGGTCCCAATAACTTCTATGAATTTTTTACTAATACTATAAGTTTTCACAAAATAGTCCTTGCAAACAACAGTCAACATGGTATGCTGTCGGTACCGTTGTTTGCTTGGGTCAGAACACCTAATTCGCATAGAACTCTTGTCTTTAACATCCATGGGAGAGCTATATATTCTAACCTACGATTATAGCTTCCATTTCCCAAAATTCTTTAAAAACTTGCAAGCGAACTTCGTCCTTTATTTTTTCCTTGCACTTTTTTATATCATATTATATTATATTATTTTATTTCTACATAATTAATTAATTTTTTCTTAAATCTCTTTTTCAGTTCTTGTAACATACGCCTTACCAAAATTTCGGTTTTCTCTTCTCTCTCGTCTCATTTTTCTCGTTTCTTTGTTCGTGCGTTTTTTAACTTTCTCGAGGACTTGCCATCCAAGTTATATTTGTCTACTGCAATATTATTTATATCTTCTGAATTGGCTCTTTTTTTTCTGTCTACTATATCGCTGTCGTCGGCAAAGCTATAATATTTTTCATCCTGCACAGGGACAACATTTGCATCTTCAATACTATCATCTGATGAAAAATCTAATAGATCCTGAATTTCATCTGGAAGCGATGCAGCAATGTTACTGGCGTAGGACATCTCAGATTCTTCTCTGGCATGGTGCTATAAAATGCAACAAAAATAAAATTAGTTAATAAAATTTTTAAACGACAGTAAATGCGCATTTTGTTTTTGTTCATATTTCTTCCATAGTTTGTATTACGTGTATCTACTTTTAATAAAATTATTTATTACTTACCAGAAGGAAAGGTTTTCTGCATTGGTATAATCCCTTCCAAGTAATTGTCAGCATTTGTACATATTTTATTGCAATTTTCTACTACAGTTTCCTTATCTGAACAATATATACGAACATTATTTTGTTCATCTGTCAATCAATATCCCATTTGTTTTATTTATTCTCTGTACAATATATACATAAACAACTGGATAATTATAGATTATAGTAAAAATATTGTACAACTACCAGTGGAAAATAAATTATTATTTTATTTACCATCGGCATTAAGCATATTTAGAATTTGTTTTCCTCTAGACATTTTTTAATTTTCACTTATTATATTGGTATTACTAAATTTAAACAAATATTTTTATTGATATAAGGTTAAATGCTCGAATAAATGAACGTTTGCTTAAAATAGCATCTTCAGGGGCATTTCGTCAAGTTAGGGCTATCAAGCAAGCGTAGAATGTGATAAACATGAATTTTAACATAATATTGTAAAATAGTAAATGTAACATAATATTATACAAAACACTACGCTAAAACAAGGACAAACGGTTTAAAATTAATTAAAATAGTTCTACGCTCTACATTCTTTGTCAGTAACAGAAGAGAGAATGAAAAAAAAATTTTTATTTTGCAATAATAATCACCACTATTACTCGTGTTGCATACTAATTTATAGGTTATGTGTATTAAGTTAGTACCGTGAATAAGGGGACAAGTCAAGTTGTCTGATTATTCACTAAGAGAAATACTGATATGGGCAGTGCCAAAAGTAATATGTTAACATATCCCTTTTTACAGTAAATTTTATGTACTATTTTGTAAGTGCCTCTTTTGGAACAATCAACTTTACATACAAATTCAGCTACATTGACTAGTCCCCTTTTAGACACCACTAAAACGTACTTTATTTAACGTATATTTGAGTGAATCCGGTTTTCTTCAAAAATTGACTTGCCTCCTTTTTCGCGTTCAACAGCGATATACAATTTCACCTTTTTCAGTACATGCTATTGGTACTTTAAATGTATTGTTTCCGTAATATGTAGAATATGTCACCTGCTGTATAATAGGGTCATTGGAATTGCTTCGGGCTATTGGAATTTCGGTACGGTCCAGAATAATTTTGTACTGGTCTTCAGAAGTTGTTGCAATGTTCCAAAAGTTAATTTTTTAGGCAAGTGTAAAGATGCTTGGTCCACTTAACAAATATTTTTCGGGCAGTTCAAATGTCTACTGTAAAAAAATACTTTAATGTAGAATAAAACAAATTAAGTCTATATTTCATAAGCGTTATTAACAGTTCATTTTCCTCTGAAAAAGCACTATGAATTTTAATGTATGATTTTCCAAACTCTTCAACAAAAAATGTAAATAATTTTCTTGAAAAAAAGTAAAATGTTTCTTCTGACAAAAATGTCATAAGAAATGAATTGACTTCTATTCCATGTTATCACGGTCTGAGTTGTAATACATGTTTTTGAACTCTTTGATTAATTTTCATTAGCAGGTGTCTCTGCTGGACCACGCTTTTGTGTATCATTCTTAACTGGTTGTAATAATTTTGTTTCTATATCCGTAAACAAATTTTTCGAAACCAATTCAGATTTCTGCTGTAATCTGTACCTTCTAAGAATTGCAGGCAAAGCAGACGTTGATAAAGATGCTATTAGTGACATTGGGAATCTAAAATTGCATTCCACAACATTTGGTTTCTAGTACTCGTAAAGAGTATACCGGAATAAAAGGAAAAGACAGTTAAGATTTTATTTTACGTATAATGCGTCTGTATATCCACTTATACGTATTTCACCCTAAAAGCGATCTTCAGAGCGGCGAACTATACGTGAAATCAAATATTAACTGTCTTTTCCTTTTAATTCTGTTTCTGTTTGCTCTTTTTGTTTGTTTGGTGGCAATACTGCTGCACAAAGTATTTTTCTATATCTATCACTTCTCCTAGAGTCCTTTACTGGAGTTTCCAACCATTTTTTTTGGTAAATTTAATGAAGGTACTGCATCTTTTTTTAAAATCCTCCATTGTCCTAGAAAAACAAGACAATCGCAATACAGAAAATTAGGATAAGTGTTTTTTAACTTACCCAAACTTGTAACGGTATAACTTTCATTTGAAAAGTGCGTCGAACAGATTTTTGTGTGATTGCTGATACTTTTTTCAGTCCTGATAGCGATCAACCATCTTTTTGTAAAGCTTTATTAAAGGGGAATTTATTAATCTTAACATTCTGAGTTTTATTGGAAATTGAATTGCATTGTGGCACTCAACAATTGTAAGACATTCTGTAAAGATTTAGTAAAAGAATCCAAGCAATAAAAATGTCCCAAATAACTGATCAAATTAAATTTTGTGGGTGATTAAAACACTTACAAAATTGCATACCAACTAGAAAACGAGTACCAAACAATGTTAATAAATGGCAGAATAAAATAAGGTTAAATTTTAATACCAAACCCTGAGGCCAGCGCCACCTACATGCATGTGATCTATTAACAAAGCATAATCAATCATTTAAAGGGTTTTTACCATCGAGCACAAAGATAAAAGAGGGAATCTAATCGTTATGAAAAGGAGACCAAAAAAGTGGCCTCTGATGGCGGACATATCCGGAAATGCAAAGGCGCTAAATTTAAATTTTCCAACACTTGTTAACAATACCTGTAAAATATTTTTCAGACAAGAAAGTTTTAATTAAATATTAACGATAATAGTCTAAAAAGTGACATAATTGGTAAAAAAACTTCAATATAAATAAAATTTCATGTGACAGTTGGGACAAACAATAACATAACCTAACTAAATTTGACTTCTTAAACAAGGAAAGAGACTGTCTATCCTTGTCTAAAGTGGCCTCTCAAGATGGCACTTCCTGTCTATCAATATGTTTACCCCCACTACCTTTACATTCCCTCTTTTGTCTTATTGCTCGATGGTTTTTACCCAGCTAACTCATGTATACTTAGTAACTACACTGATGATAGACTTATCAGTCCGAAAAAGTTTTGTGATTTAACCCAACAGCACATTTTTTGAATATATATATATATATATATATATATATATATATATATATATATATATATATATATATATATTGGAATAATAATAGATATACAAGAAATTAACATAGTAATATTATGATGTTTAATTAATAAACTTACTTAAATAGTGGTTAAAGAAATAATTTATAAGTTATATACTAGCGAATATTATTAAAAAATAATTATATGAGGGTATTTTTGAAAATTTAGCATAGGATTAAGTTAAAAAAGTTTTTTATTTTATTTATAAATAAAAATATAATTTAAGAGAGCCACATGCATAGGCAACCAAATATACACTGTGCTATTTGACATTTGCTTGGTTGCGGATGAAAAATGGGGTTAAATATTAGTTTGGGATTTTAATTTAAATATAATTACGGATGTAAAATAGTGATAATGTATTAGTTTAAGATATTTAGTTTATATATAATAGTGTATTCTGATCTAAAAAATCTAAATGTCCATAAGCTTATCACTAGAATTTTCTGGAAAACGTCAATATACAAGGCAGTTAGCCCTATTTGCATAGTAGGTTATTCCAGAACTTTCATATATGGATTAGATGAAGAGTTTCGAACATGGTTTATTGCTAGAACATTGCTATTTCTGGAACAAGAAAGTAATATAAATACGAGGTAATTTGGAGCAGGCAGGCATTAAGTTACAGTCAATTATACAGTTACAGTTACTAAAGGTCGATTCAGACACATCAGTCACGTCTCGTCACCATCTCGTCACAGTCATTGCGCCGAATCGAACAATCCGTCATACAAAATATTCTTTAATACAAATATGGCGCCGGCATTCACACTCATCAGTTGACGAACAGTTTGCCAGCTGTCAGATAGTTGATAGTTCTGTGACCAAACAGGACCGGTTCGGTACCGTGACTGTGACGTGACTGATGTGTCTGAATCGACCTTAAGTCAGTTACAGTCAATTAGTTAGTAGAAGGCATTAAGTAAGATTAAGTCAGTCAGTCAGTTACAATTGATTAAGTTAGAAGAATTCATGAAGTTAAATTAAGTTAGAAAAAAGGATTAAAGGTTGATTCAGACACATCAGTCACGTCTCGTCACCATCTCGTCACAGTGATTGCGCCGAATCGAACAATCCGTCATACAAAATATTCTTTAATTCAAATCTGGCGCCGGCATTCACACTCATCAGTTGACGAGCAGTTTGCCAGCTGTCAGATAGTTGATAGTTCTATGACCAAACAGGACCGGTTCGGTACCGTGACTGTGACGTGACTGATGTGTCCGAATCGACCTTTAGTGAGATGAAGTCAGTCAGTCAGTTACAATTAAATCATTAAATTAGATTTATCAAGAAAGTTAGTTCAAGGCAGTTATAATTAAATTAAATTAGAAGAAAGGATTAACTTAAAAGAATTCATTAAGTCAGATACAATTGGAAAGTATGAGAGTAAATTAATTCAATATAGATAGTTCAATACAGGAGTATAGTATTCTTCTTCTTTAAGTTCCATCTTCTATCGAAGGTTGGAAATCATCATGGCTATGCGGACTCTGTTAGTCCGCGAGAGTATAGTATATTATATGGAAATTCCAAGAATTTTAAATTATAATATCTATATGCAATTTCACAAATACAAGGATAACCCAGGCTGATTAAGAAGATATTTAGTGGTGATTATAACTTTGATTTTGGAAAACTTTAAGCATTCAGTGATAGAAAGGTACCAAATTTTGTTAATATAATTTAATAATTTGTA